TACTTGTTTATTTTTGTACCAAAAAATTACATATATTAAATCCAATTTCTTCAGGATATAAAAAATTTGGGGTTATAGAAAATCAACATTTGTATTCATACAATTTTATTTTTCTATTTTCCAGGTATGGATGTTTTGTGGGCAGGTACTCCTATGATTACACTGTCTGGAGAAACCTTGGCATCTCGAGTTGCAGCTTCTCAACTCCACTGTTTAGGGTGTCCAGAGCTTGTAGCACAAACCAGACAGGAATATGAGGACATTGCCTGTAAACTAGGGAATGATCGTGAATAGTAAGTATTTTCTTATTCTCATTTTTTTTGGGGGGGGAGGGATGTTAAACTTCTACACCACCTTCAGTTTTTGTGAAATTGCTTTTGTTAAATAAATAAAGTGAGACCTCTGCAGTGCTCCATTACAACATGACCTTTTTCTCCCCAGCTTAAAAGCCACAAGAGCTAAAGTATGGAAGGCTCGCATCGACTCCCCTCTGTTTGATTGCAAGACATATGCAACTAACCTAGAACGGCTCTTTGGGCGTATGTGGAAGAAATATAGTGGTGGAGAGAAGCCAGACCACATCACTGAGTGGTAATTGAGATAAGATATTTATTGAGATTCAGGATGGAGTATTTATTTATTTCAGTAGGATTTACTCAACTTGAAATTGTAAAATGATGTTGCATTGCCCGCAATCACACCGACTTACCAGTCATTTGTTGCAACCAAGGAAGTGAATTGATTAGAGAAGTATCCAGCACTAACTCTGAAGTAAATGTGATATTAGTTCTTTCAGATCAATGCCATAATTGTTACAATGCACCATTGCAGATCTGATGTTATTCGTTGTATACAGGCCAGTTGACCATTGACACAGTGGATTCCAGCTTCTTTATATATCCAGTACTACTTTGTCATTAACTTGTGTAACTCAAAGTAGGTGTTTTTAGCTAGACATTTTTGATATTTCAAAATATATGATCTTGTTAATGGCCAACCATCGTGGAGATCAAACCTGTTAGAAATTGAAATACAAGGCATATCTGATCAATAAAAGATTGTGTGGAGTTAATATTATGAACAAGCTGTAAATAAATCCTAAGTTTTCTTTTAGAAATAAGCATGCTTCAAAAGGCTCAGGAGTCTTCAAGTGTGTGTGTGTGCGTGAGTGTATAGGGTTCTCTCATTTTTCACTAAATTTTGTCATTTATTTTTATGTATTAAGACAGGGATATTTCTACATGTATAAATAGTTTTATCCATGTTTATTTGTGATGTTTTTTATAGTTTTATTTTTTATTTTTGGCAAATTCTGCAATTAGTGAGAATAGATATCCACATGTACATTCTTAGATGATATTTCATAATTATCAGAGGCATTAGTGATAATTTTTCTTCATCCCAAAGAATGTGCACTGTTACCATGTACATAATGACAAGGCTCCATTAGCTTTTTAGAACATGGTAAATAATAGCCATCAATATTGATATTCAAATATATTTTTAAATGCCCTTACAACAGATTGAAAGGTAACCATGAATAAAAAGCTTGTCTCACAGATCTGGTTGTGGGGCAGTTTTAGGTTGTCTTGTTAACTGTGGGTGCTAAAGATTTGAAAATTTCATTTATTTGTATGCCAACGAAGTTATTGGTAGGTAAAAGCATGTTCACTCTGTTGTAGAGGCAGGTGAAGCAGTCTCTTGATATAAAGGGAATAATCATTAAAAAACAATATTTTTTTTGTGTATGGGACAGTTTATATGTAAAATTTGAACTTAGACAGGTTGATAAGGGATCTAAATAATGTTTAGTAATACAATTCATCATGCAAGGTGTGATAAAGTGTCCTTGTGAGACACTGGATGACAAATATCCAAGTGTTGACTAACACAGGTTTGATTTGTCATGGAAGTTCCTTGCACTAAGTGATACCATTATCAAGCATTACAGTTGTAAGTGGACGTGTGACATCTGTTTTTCTTGTTAAAGAAGTGTTTCTTTTGTATTAGTAGCCCAGTATTCTCACTCTGGAAATGAATATTTGAGCATTGTCCTCCATGAAGAAGAAGAAGAAGAAGAAGAAATGCACTTTTGGGCTTGGACAATGGCGAGTACACCACTCAAGGCCATTTCATCCCTTGCATCACTGTAGATTTTGGTTTGCTCCATTCTTGCTGTAGATTTCTCCATCTCTCCTTTTTTCTTCCTCCCCTCTCTGGAGACTTGACAGGAGTAGTATTTTTACAAAGATAGGATGCTGCAGTGTTTCTCTAAGTTTGTTTATACATCTTGTTTTCCTATGTGTATATATATATATTTTTTATGTTTCCTCAGGACTTCAAAGAAATTGAAAATGATTTAATGAAAGTTCACAGAGAGGGGATGCATAAAAAGTCTGTACATTGTTCTTTGCTTTTCAAAAATAAAATACAAACAAAGCAAGGAGTTATCATTAACTTTGTACTCTATATCACAAGAAACAAAGTTCAAAGTATAGAATTTCTGTATTTTTATCCTAAATGAAAATTGTGATGTGAGCAGAAATATTTTTCCCATCAGAATGCATATAGCAATATTCCAAATGGCAAATTCGCAAATACATTCACAACTGCAGTGCTTTACAAATAGCATATTCAAGAAACCCACTGATGCTAATCATTGTCGAGAGCATCATAAACAAAATGTTCAAAAACTTTTCTCAAATTATCGACATGTCATTTCTCATTTTAGCTAATAATAGCATCTTCATTCTCACATTTGAACAAAAATAAGAAAAAACTGATATTGATATGACAAAGCAAATACAAAGAAATCCTACATCATTTTTAGTATAGTTCATACTTATATTGTATAAGTATAAAAATATTGTTCCATTGTTGGTCAATGAAACAAATAAGGCAAGTGTTAAACAATGATACATGAACTTAAAAGCCAAAAGCCAATGAAAACCATAAATTTGAGGGACTTTGAAAATTACTTTAAAATCACAAGCAATAAGAAAATTGTAAAGATTTCTGAAAGAATCTTTGTCCAGTTCACATTTCATGAGAGACATTGGAAAACTTTCTAATATTTTCCTTTATTGTCGACATTTTGTGGAGTTAAGGTTTTTCCAAAGCCCATAACTCAGTCATCCATAGAGGGCCCACTCTATAGATTTGTCATGGTTATCTATACATAAAAGAAGCTTTTGATATAAAATTTGCCTCATATAAATATTATATATATATATATATATATATATATATATATATATATATATATATATATATATATATATATATATATATATATATATATATTACTTATATACATTATATATATCATACATGCTGTATACGCTCCTACGGATGTATATAAACTTGAGGTGAAAGAGATGTTTTACACCAAACTTGCATCTGTGGCAGACAGTTGTCTTCGGCGAGATATTCGTATTGTTCTGGGCGACTTCAATGTGGTATCCAGCTGTGATTGAGCTGGCTCCGAGATGTCTGTCGGTCCTCATAGCTTAGGAGCTGATGCTTGCAGCGAGAATAGCCTCCTTTTCCGTGACTTTGCTAAGTCCCAGAAATTGAGGATCTCTGGCTCCTGGTATCAGCGTTCTGACCCGCATCGCTGGACTTGGTACAGCAATGCGGGTAGTGTGGCCAAGGAGATCAACTGCATCCTCGTCAGCACTTGGTGAAGGATCCTGTATTGAAGCAGTGAGTTCTGTGGAACTGATCATAGATTTGTTGTGGCTACTCTCCGGGTCCACTTTAGAACCCCCTGTCGACCAAATGAACACCCCAGGGTGTTTCATCTGGACAGACTGAGGGAGGACGAGTGTGCTCGGGGGTTTGCCGAAGCTATCTCTGGTTGTCTCACAGCACTCGAGGGCCTGACAGACCCTGTTCTTATATTGGATACCTTCAAGCGTGAAACGCTTGATGCAGCTCAGGAATCCATTGGTGAACGCCCAAGAGCAAGACAGAATTCCATCTCGCAGGAGACACTGGAAGCCACAGATGCTTGTCGCATGGCTCGATTGTCAGGGGATCGCAACTTGCACTGTTCTCTGGTACGCAAAACTAGGTAACTGTTGAGAAAGGATAAGGAACAGTTTATCAGTAATCTTGCAGAGGAGGTCGAAAGACATTTCTTAGTAAATGACCTTCGTGCTGCCTACCAAGCCTTGAGAAAGCTGAACTCCAAGCCCTCCTCACAGACAACTGCAATCCGCTCAGCAAGTGGCCAGATAATCTCAGATCCTGATGGGGTGCGTTTGCATTGAGTATTTTGAGCAGTTGTATCAGGTTGATCCACCAACAGTTAACTTGGATGCGGGTAATGTTGAGATTCCTCTGCCAGACCCACCCATCTGCGAGGATCCACCCTCCCTGACAAGTCAAGGGGGCGATCTCCAAGCTGAAGAGCGTAAAGTAGCAGGTGTTTGTGGCATCCCAGCTGAATTGTTAAAGGCTGGTGGAGAACCTATGACTAGGGGCGTGCATGCAGTCCTGTCTGTCATCTTGCAGACTGGTACCATTCCCCCTGACCTGCTGAGGGGTGTGGTCATCCCTCTCGGGAAGGGGAAAGGGGATCGCTGGAACTGTAGCAGTCACTGAGGCATTACACTACTCAGTGTACCAGGCAAGGTACTCGCGCACATTCTACTGAGACGTATCAGAAACCACCTGCTGAGGCACCTAAGGCCGGAGCAATCTGGATTCACTCCTGGTAAGTCCACAATATACCGCATCCGAGTCATTGTAGAGCGCCGTCGTGAGTTCAGACGTGGGCTGCTCGCAGCCTACATCGACCTCAAGGTGTTTGATACGGTGCATCGCGAATCACTCTGGGAGATCCTGAGGCTAAGAGGAATTCCAATAAGGATTGCTGGACTAATAGCAAACCTGTATACAGGCACTGAAGGTGCTGTAAAGTGTGGTGGGGGCCTGTCGAGCTTCTTCCCTGTTAGTTCAGGCGTGAGGCAAGGCTGTGTTCTTGCACCAACACTTTTCAACACTTGCATGGTTTGGATACTGGGTAGAGCTACTGTTCAAAGTCACTGTGGAGCAACTCTGGGCAATATCAAGGTTACAGACCTTGACTTTGCTGATGATATTGCCATTCTTTACGAATCTCTGAAAACCCTAGTGGTGGCTCTTGATGCATTTAGCAATGAAGCGAAGCCCCTAGGGCTAGAGGTCTCCTGGACCAAGACCAAGATCCAGGATTTGGGGGACCTAGTAGGAGACTGTGCAGCCGGTACGTGCTTGCGGTGAAAGCATCGAAGTCACAGAGAGCTTTATATACCTTGGTAGTGCAATTCACGACTCTGGGCTGTCAGACCAGGAAGTCAGTAGACGGATTGGCCTGGCCTGGTCATGAAATCTCTCGACAAGAGTATTTCGAGATGCCGGTACCTGTGCAGAAGGACCAAGCCATGTGTTTTCAAGGCTCTGATACTGCTAATTTTACTATATGGTAGTGAAACTTGGACGCTATCTTGTGCTGTGGAATCTCGTCTTGATGCCTTTTGTAACAGATCCTTGCGCCGGATCATGGGGTACAGTTGGCGGGACCATGTGTCCAACCAACGGCTGCACCTTGAGACCGGTACAGGTCCTGTTACTTGCATAATCAATGATCGCCAACTCAGGCTATACGGCCACTTGGCTCGATTCCCGCAGAATGATCCGTGACAACCCTGGGTGAAGGAGGCCTGTGGGACGACCGGGAAGGTCGTGGCTTGGGCAGATCGATCAAACCTGTAGTGAGGAACTAGAGATATGACACAAACACAAACACAGTAACGTGTACACAAAGATGAAAGGAAAACTGTCACAGTAAGAAATGAAAATGAAATGTAACGTTTCGAACTTTTCACGAGTTCCTCTTCAGATGAATGATATACCAAAAATGGATCCATTTTTAACACCTACAAATGTCATGTAGTCAGGCTCGAAGAAGGTAAAAATCGTCCACAGTGCCAGTACAAGTTAGGAGACGTAATATTATACCAAGCAGATAAAGAAAAAACCTTGGAATAATCATAAACAGGAACCTAAGCCCAAACGATCGTATAAATGACAAGGTTCATAAACTGTTAGAGCAAACATTTTAGTGTTTTTATATTTTAAAACAAACAATTCAGTGCTTAGATATTTTAAACAAACATTTTTTTTTTGGTTATTGCATTATGATTCTTTAAATGCCATGACAAGTACATGTTTATCATAATAAAGCTTTTTTAAAGTGTAAATCAAGACGGTATGTTACAAACACTTGTAAAGATTATGTAACTTTCTTGATAAAATAAACTATATAATAATTTTATAATTAATATATATAATATATATATATATATATATATATATATATATATATATATATATGTGTGTGTGTGTGTGTGTGTGTGTGTGTGTGTGTGTGTGTGTGTGTGTGTGTGTGTGTGTGTGTGTGTGTGTGTATAGAACACACATTGTAATATAGCAAGAATATTATCCCTGTAGTTTGTCACTACTGTAACAAAATGGGGGGAGTTTCCTTACTAGTAATGGCACCAATGTACTTTTGTGGTGAGTTTGTGTCCCTCTGCGATGGTACTGCTGGTTTTATTCTTGATGTGTTGAGTTAAAGTCGTCGCAGATTTATATTTTATTACTGCGAGAGTATGGTAGCTGGAGTACAGAGGACAGGCGTGGCAGAGACGCCCTGGGAGGAGCGAGGCATCTTGCCATCCCCACGAAGGCGAGTGGTCTGTGTTGACTGCTCAGAAATTGTTATGAACTTCGTTTTGAAACATATCATAATGGAAAATATGAAAAAAATTGAATGAATGCAAATTCAGATACATATGGTCACATGATGGTTTCGTGATGAAGAAACAAGGGTACCTTATATACAGTTGTATGTAAGAAGAGAGTTATGCTGTTTACAAGACTAAAGAGCTTCGTGATAAGGAGACAGAAATGCTGAGAATTCTTAAAACATAAAGACATTTGAATATCGATCATGATAGCTACAACATATTTAGTGATGTTGCCTGTCATCTCGCACAGTGGTATAAGGATACCTATAATTCACGTCTTTAGCATTTGACAATCGGTGATGAAGAACGATATGTTACATTAATACACAGCTCTTGCGGAAGGAGGAACACAACAAAACACTGGTATGTCTAGTGTGGTAAGAAGAAATGGATAAACATGTAAAGCAATGTACATGCTTACATACATGCATATGTGTGTGGGAATACATGCATGTGACAATATATAAGATTACATGAGTCATATGAAATAGAAATGAATACATAGAATTACACATTTCAGTAACGTTATATATATATATATATATATATATATATATATATATATATATATATATATATATATATATATATATATATATATATAGCTGGGTTACAGAGAGAGAGGGGGGGCAGAGAAAGAGATAGCGTGCATTAAGCGATAAATCCATTTATAACTATTCTTATTAAGAGAGAAATAAATCGT